TTTGGTCAAGCCTTGTTCTTTTCCTAACTTCTAATTTAGTTTTAATTAAATTAGTTGTGAATCCCGATCCCGTGCACCGCACAGTCTGATTTCACGACTCATGGGATGCCAGGCGGATAGTGTCACGGTTAGCTCGTTAGATTTATTTTTCTTTTTATTTATGTATTGCCATATCAGCATTTTATCGGAAACAATATTGTAATAAAATTTCCTAAAATTGTACTTAAGACTATTATTGTCTCTGTTTCTTTATGGAAAAAGGAACGAAATGTGGTGTGAAGGAGGGGAAAAAAAGATAGTAGGGCGGTTGACAGCTGACACTTTGACACGTAGAAGATGCTATATATATGCAATTTGATATTTTCTTCTTCTTCTTTTTTCTTTTATTTCTGAAAAATACTATGATATCGCTCTTCATCGTCGTTATAAAGTCGGCCCGGATTTGGGAATTTTTATTCAGATCGCGTAATAAAAATTAAATTAAATATTGAGATCTGCATTTACTTCGCCAGAGTCTTAATATAAGATCCTACTTAATATAAGATCCTATTTGACTTTTATTTTGATCCTAAATATAATACCCCAATCCACTTTGTCTCTCATATTTATACATTTTTTTTTCTAAAATAGTCCTTTTAATAATTATAGTCCTAGCCAATATAGTTGATTAGTAAGGATATTTTAGGAAAAGCAACACCTATTTATTACAGATAACTAACTTAACTTCTTTCCTTAATCTCCTCAAATTAATCAATTGGGTCTTATGATTAGGACAAAAGGTAGTATAAGTTTAAAGACATTCTCTTGCAAGCAAATATAATTTTAAAAATATTAACAAATATCAGATTAAACTATTACCTTAAGTCCAGATGACCCCCCCTTTTTTTTTTACATGCTGAGATAGATTAGGTTTTGCCCTGGACAAAATAAACCAAGCAATAGTGTAAAATCCAATTCTGTTAAAAAAAAAAAAAACACACACACACACACAAAATATGCACGGAGCATCACCAGCAATGTGAAAAAATATTAGCATCGTCACCCATTCTTAAAAAAAATAAAAAATAAATAAAAGAGTCCATCTCGGTCCCTTAAAACAGGCTTTTATATGAGCTCACTCACCGTTTGGATATGTAAATCCTAAATTCGGAACCCGACAAAACAGATATATTGCGGTGTTTAGGGAGAAGACGTGACAACACAACAATACATTTGTTAAGTGAGAATATGGTTGGAAGGTTGAAAAGAACGGGTGGGTGCCACAGTATGAAAAAGGCATAATTCTCTATTTTACTATCAGATTCCCACCGTTCAGATTCGCATATACATACAGCTTCCTTAAATAAATAAACGAACAAAGGAAGGAAGGAATTAAATGCGAACAGTACATGTTGCTCTCAAGTGTGCGCATCAGAAGCGGAAGAAATAGGAGAGACAATAATGTTAAGCATTGGTGGCTTTTGAAGGATAGGGATAAGAGCCTAAATTATCCGTTCAACCTTTAAATGAAAAGGAATGATTTTTTTTTTTTTAAATAAAGAATAAAACGTGTGGCAGGGACGGCATATAAAAACTGGAAGTGGTGGCGACGGCGTCCAGAATCCGAATCGAATTGGCCGGGCATTTAAAAAGCAAGTAAAAGCCTCAAGGCCCATTATATACTGTCCCTGTTCTTATCCCTTTCCATCCGGCTTTCGCCTCCCTTTTGCTTTTCGTTTCCTTTTTTTGGTTTCTAAATTATCGTTGTTTGGCACACAAAATTTCAAATAATCTTATAAATCAATTAATCACATTATAAATGGTATATTCTGAAACCCGTTGAGGAAGGTGCCGTCAGAAGGCGCCGCCATCAGATCAGCCAAATCAATCCTCGTCCTGACTGACATATTTTCCGTCGACTTCATTACCAGGTTCGAAAAAGAGAGGGAAGGATCGGAGGTTTTGAGGGGGAAAAAAATGAAAGGGTAAAAAGAAGAAGAAGAAGAAGAAGAAGATTGAAGAAGTTTGGGGTGTCCTGCTTAAAAGGCCGTCGGATTGAGGAAGCACGTAACGGAGAGTAACCGTCAAGAAACTCAACGGCGAAAGCTTCCGGTGGGTACGTTGCAGAGCGTGACAGGAGTTTTCAGAACCCTAGAGCGGACCTTCATTATATTGCACGTCTCTCCTCTGCCACAATGCCATCATCACAGAGCAATCCTAGCATGCACGTCCCGCCCGGCCAGCTGGACCGACCTTGATGATTAACCATAGATTCAATTCACTTCAAAATTTTCAAACTCATGCCTTGATTCCCCCCCTTTTTTTTTTGGTTATATTACACGTCCTTTAATTATTTGTTTTGCCAACATACAGATAATTCCTAAAATATTAAATGTTTTTTAATTGATGACGCCCTGTTTTGCTTCAGCTCCCGTGCAACTTAAGATCTGGTTATACCAAAATTGTAATATTTATGATTTTTGACAGCGTTTTTATTTGTATGGATTGATGACGAATTACGAAACTGGTAAAAAAACCTGACAACATGTGACTTGTTTCACAAAGAAGGCGGCAATTGCAATAATTAAGGAGGAGAAAGTGATGCAAATAAGAAATGAGCAAGTTGCAGGACCAAATTGGGATGGGGATAATACTGTATGTACTTGTATAAGATGAGGAGTGAGAAGGAAGGGTGAGCGCTCACCAACAAACGAGAGAAGACGTCTTTTCCCACATTCAAAAGCAAAAAAGGGACGATGGGGGTGGGTCCCCCGCTCCCTCTCTTCACTGGCCACTTCCTAACTCATTGAAGGCGGCGTCAAAAGCGAGCTCCCATGTCGGCCTCAAGCTTTCTCTTTCTCACGTCACCCTCCGCCTCAGCCACTACCGTCTCTTGGTTCTCCTGCTGACTCGGCTGCCACCTGTCTCCTCCCTGCCGTTTCTTCGTATCTCCTTTCTCTCCGTCCTTTCCCTTTTTGATATGCTTCGATGTATATTATATATATCTGCATGAACAGTAGATGGGAGCGGATTTCCCGTCCTGAGGTTGTTGGTGATGTCCATCCGTGGGGGGATGCTTGCTTTGGTACTGAATAAAGGTCGAGATGAGTTTATTATTAAAATATGGAAAAAAGTGATAAGGGAGAGGGATCTCTATTTAATGCGTACGGCCCTATGCTTCCATATCCTCTCTTAAGAGATTATTCTGATTTATCAGAAAAGGAAATCCTTTTCCCTTAAATAAAGGGCCTTTTTTCTGCTGAGGACTCGGATTAGAAAATTGGGGGAAAATAAGCAAGAGAAAATAAAACAGCCAATAAAGCTTAAAAAAGATGGTACTGTGTTTCTCGTTTCTGATGCATCATGTTCTTTGTGCTTTTTGCAGGGACCTTTTTCTTGACAGGGGTTTTTGTGGGTTCTTTTCTTTCTCTCTTTTTGCTACTTTTTATTGGAAGTCTCTCTCGAGAAGTTTTCTTCCCTCTTTGTATCTGCAGCTGTGAAGATAAAAGAAAAGCTCCCTCCTTTTCTGCGTGTATCTGATTCTCTATTTCTATGGGTCTTGAGCTTCTGAGTCTGCATCAACAAACGTGGAATCTCATAAAATAAATGAGCGGTCCTGGAGGTATGTCTCAGAAGGATCCGGCTATTAAGCTATTTGGCAGGAAGATTCCGGTGTCGGAATGTCAGATTCCGGCGACCTCTCCAATGCCTCCTCAGATTCCGGCCAACTCCGGAACCATGGTACATCAATACATACACATACATCCACATCAACCATTTCTGCTCCCTGCTTTTGGTTTTCATTTTCTTGGATTCACTGTGACATGGCCTCTTCGTTAATCCAAAAGGATTGTTCTCGAAGGAATGTGAATTCTGGCTTTTATTAATATATGATGTTTGACATACATATAGGTTAACATAAAGAAAATAGTTTCGTTTCCCAGGCGTGGCGTGTTCGGTTAATCTGGCCTTTTATTAAGTTCTTGTTGGTTATCGCATCATACTTATAACTTTGACCTACGTCAAATTTGGTTAACGTATGCAAAGACCGGGAAAGTAACAGTGTCTGCCTCATCTTCATATTCATTTTTGTCATGGCTTCATGAAGAACTGCAAGTTCTTCATTTTTCTTTTTGTTTCCAGAATCATGCACTTGAGTTACTGGACTATTAATCGTTGTTTCTCATGTTTCCCCCAAATTAAGAACAAGGCATCTTCTATGTGGGCTTTCAGAGGAAGATAAATGGAATATTTGTTTTTTCTGTCGCCAACTGTTTATATCTGGCCTAGTCGTCACTTCTGCAAATTAGTTCTTCTAATCCCTCCTCTAAATCTTGCCTTACTGGGTTCTAACTTCTATGGGATTGGGTCTCCTTCATAGTATCATCACAGGTTCACTAAATAATCATGACTGTCAGGTTGGAAAGTTTACGAGAATTCTTTGTTTCAGTTTTCGTTTTCTTTTTCTTTTTTTTTGCGCGCAAGATATGTTGAACTTAGGCTCATGTGTACGGTGAGGCAACTGTCAATCGAGACTGAGGTAATACAGAGCTAGAAATAGTCTTCTCAAAAGTTAAGGTCTGGACTCTGGTAATTGATGCATTATTGATTCAAATATTCGCAGGAGTTGAGATCTCGAGGTTATATAACATGTTGTGTAGCCAATCTTTATTCTAGTTAGATTGTCACTGATTTTGGTAAAATTTTTAGGATGCTTGCAGTCGCTTGAAGAAAACAGGAGTGGGAAGAGTTTGTTCAGAAAACTCTGAGCAACAAGAGGATGCCTCTGATTTAGCGGCAAGTAAAGAAGGGTCCCAACATAATCAGCTAGAAAATGAGCCCAAAGCCTATCCCAAGACTATGGAAGATAGAATGCAAAATAGCAGCACAGATCAAGATAAGTCATTTAAGAAACCAGACAAGATTCTTCAGTGTCCACGATGCAACAGTTTGGACACAAAGTTTTGTTATTTCAATAACTACAATGTTAATCAGCCTCGACATTTCTGCAAGAACTGCCAAAGGTATTGGACTGCTGGTGGAACAATGAGGAATGTTCCAGTGGGTGCTGGGAGACGAAAGAACAAGCACCTAGCCTCTCAGTTTCGCCATATCATAGTGTCCTCTGATGGAATTTCAACCTCTAGGTTGGAAACCTCAGACTCGTCTAGTCACCAACTTATCTCATCTGCTGAATCTTCTGCTGCTTTCAGGTCTTCGGGGGCAATGGATAATGGTATTGTATTGAAATTCGGTCCAGATGCCCCTCCTCTCTGTGAATCCATGGAAACAATGCTTATTATTAGAGACCAGAAAAGGAAAGTTGATGCAGAAAATGTGAAAGAACAATCTTTATGTGGATCTTCAGTGGCGAATAGTAGTGGTTCTGAACTAGTCATGCAAAAAGAGCACGGTGTTACTAATCAGCTTAGCGCATCAAATCAAATGCAATGTTTCCCTGTTCCTCCACTGTTGTTTCCCTGGAATCCAGATTGGAACAATGTTGTTTCTATGACCGCAATTCATCAATCTTCAGCGCCAATGCAGTGGTATCCAACACCGTTGATGGCAGTTCCCAGCATGTGCCCACGTGGCGTTCCTTTACATTATGCACCGCCATCATATTGGTCCGCTGGCAGCGGCACAGTCTCGATGGGCTCTAATGGTTGCCTTTCACCATCATCGTCGACAAGTAATAGCTGCTGCTCAGGCAATGGCTCTCCAACTTTGGGAAAACACTCTAGAGATGCAGTCTTGGTAGACGAGGAGAAGTCAGAGAAGTGTGTTCTGGTTCCAAAGACTCTTAGGATTGATGATCCAAATGAAGCTTTAAAAAGTCCTATATGGTCTACATTAGGTATAAAGCCTGACAAGAAGGAGTCTGAATCAGAAGTTCGTAGTTCCAAGAAATTGGAAACCGAAGGAGATGGGAAAGACCGTGTGTTGGGCGTTTCTCAAATTTTGGAAGCTAACCCAGCTGCGATCTCTAGGGCGCATGCATTCCAGGAGAGCATACAATGAGTTTTCCAGCCTCGACATTTCAAATTTTCAATATCTTGTGCATAAATTGCTGGCTTTTGATTTTCATGCAGAAAATATGTTGTGAATGCATCACAACTATGTCAAATCGATTGTAATTTTTAATATTGTACTCACACAGATTTTGATATCAAGCTTATCAGGATATGATGGTTCTTGGCATTACCACAATAATTAGCTAAGATCATCTATTGGGATCTCTTAATCATCCAATAATACATTCCATTATTTTCCATCCCCTAAAATGATTTTAAGAAAGTAGGGTTGGCTTTAGAGGACACTCTATGTGGTGTTGGTTCAATGTTTTTTATTGGTTTCCAACCTGAGAGACTAGCACTATCGAAAAAGTTGAACATGTTTCTCTCTGAGAACACTGTCTGGTGGGGGGAAAATGATCCTATTGAGACTTTTTATATGTGATGCTATGATGCGTGGCATTTAAACTAAAAAACTATCTTTACAGTGGTGGAGAATCAATTTATTATCCTTTTAGAGTTGTCTTTCTTTTATCTTTTGGGGGCAATTTTAGCTTTATCTTTTAGTTGGGTAAGGATGTCATTATCACTGGGAGTGCTTTGAAGTGCGGTTCTTAGGGGGCAAGGCTGACCATCTATTGTACAATGCACTGCCGCTTTTAGCACTTGTGCTTATCATAAAGGGCTTAAAGCCTTGATTTGAGCCTTTGCTTTTTACAGGGAAAAAGGTGCCTTTACAACACCAAGAAACAGAGATTTACCACAGGAATATATCCCTTTATGGCTCACCTCACGTCAAAAGATTAATTCAAAGAGCCCCTTTAATAAAAGCCCCTCGTTTCCCTCGTCAACTAGACAAAGCCAGGTCCTCATCCTCCAAACACTAACTTTAAACCAAGAAAAGGCACTTTTATCGAATGGAAAAGGAGGTGCAGTGGTACAGAATTATTTTCTCATAGCAGCCCTGACATGTTCATGTCTTCGCATATGAAAACGGAGCACCAACAAGGGTTTTCTACACTAATACCGATCCTTCCTAGCCTAGGATTAAGAAAAAGATTAGCTTTGGAGGCCAAGAGACAGAAGAGTGTGTTAGTTTCAGAGTCACGTGACGTGATCTAATTTTGTCATGAAAAGGGGAGGGTGCATCTATAGGGGGCAGTTTGTTCATTTTATGCAATCTCAAGCGCAAGAAAAATTTATGCAGGGGAGAGTTGATGCAGATTGAAATCAAATGTCTTGTTCTGCAAGAACATATAAGACCAAGTTGAAACAGTGTCCTAATTAGTTTCAAGTTTTCAAGCAATGGGCTCCATGGGCACTTACAATTCCCTGCCTTCATTTGTTTGGCTTGCCTGATTCGGTGTCGTTTTTCATTCTTGGAGCCTGGGATTTTCCTTTTTCATTTTTTGCCCCAGAAAAGGAGATGGTATTCTTGAATCTTGGGCCACTATAATTCTGCAAATTTTATTGCTTTCGCAACGTAACTCTTGCTTCTCCTTGTATAGCAAAGTTGATATGGATTGTTTCTGATATAGCAAACACGAAGCTGTGGTGCATACTTACGGCAAAGCCAGGTCTTCATATTTTGAAGATCCGTTCATTCCCAGCTGGGGCTTTCCCTATAATGACCCTATGCATACCAGTTGATTAATTCTTCGAAATTGAGATTGCCATTCACGGAATAGGTTGCGAATTTTGGAAGACGCGTCACACAAGTTTCAACATACCTACTGTCACTAAAGCGACATTATAAGAAACTGCTTACAATTCGTGCTTTTACTGTGGAAAATTTTAGAAGAGTCATCCTATTTCAAAGACAAAAACATCAGAATCATGCAAATTGAGGTATATGTCTTCGTGGTTCTCATTGAATTCATATCCATTTTTTGATTGCATTGGCTACTTCTCTTTCAAGTATGCAGCAACCAAGCATCTTCTTCCATATATCCCCTCTTTCCCACTATATATACGCATCCAAATCCCTTCCCTGTGAGGCACAAAAAAAAAATTCCCAGAGTAAAAAATAATTCAGAAAGCGCCAGAACTCCGAAATGAAGATCTCATCCATCTCGATCTGCTTCTTTGTACTTGTTCCCTTCGCATTTGGTGACCTTCAGGTTGGGTTTTATAGGTCAAGTTGCCCACAAGCAGAGTCCATCGTACGACAAGTGGTGCAGAAGCGATACAGCAGCGATAATTCCATAACTGCAGCTTTGCTTCGCATGCACTTTCATGACTGTTTCGTCGGAGTAAGATGTTTCATTAATCATCCATGTTTAATCTATTCTTCAACAACAAACTGATGAGCATTATTTCCTCACCTGATGGTATCATTCTTGTTTGTTTGTTTGTTTGTTCATATATAAAGGGTTGTGATGCATCCATACTTATAGACTCCACTGGGAACAACAAATCAGAACAAGACGCGCCACCAAATAAGAGGATTCGAGGATTCAATCTGATTCATGAGGTGAAAGAAAGGCTTGAAGCTGCGTGTCCTTCCACAGTATCATGTGCAGACATCATAACGCTCGCCACCAGAGATGCCGTGGCCTTGTCTGGAGGACCCACGTACGAGGTTCCTACGGGAAGACGCGATGGGCTCGTGTCTGATTATAATGAAGTGATGAGGAATTTGCCATCACCAAATATGACCGTTTCTGAAGCTTCAGAAAATTTCGCTGCAAAGGGATTCACAAAGCAAGAAATGGTGACCCTTTTGGGTGCACACACAGTTGGGGTTGCCCACTGTGATGTGTTCAGAGATAGACTCTCAAACACTCCTGGCCCCACAATGGACCCAGCCTTGTACGTAGAGCTGGTCAACAAGTGTAAACCTGCGACGGGGAAAGAAGAGCCGTTTGTATCCTTGGACCAAGGAACACAGTTCGTGTTTGATAACCAGTTCTATGAACAGATACTTCTCAAGAGAGGCATTCTGCGGCTTGACCAGCTAATTGGATTGGATAATTCTACTAGGGGTTTCGTCTCCGATTTTGCATTCAATCGTGATAAGTTCCGCAAGAGCTTCGTGGACGCAATAATAAAGATGGCGAGTGTTGATGTTCTGGTCGGAAGTGCTGGAGAAGTTCGAAAGAATTGCAAGGTTTTCAATTAATCCACGCAAATTGAGGAATTTATATAAGGGGATCCCTCTCTTGCTCCATGAGTTTTATATATATATATATATATATATATATATATTGCTGCAACTTAATTTGGGTTGGTTTGTCATTCCCCTGGTATTACTGATGATAATAAAATGTGTTCCTATCTCTTGGTTATATGATATAATATAGAAACTAGCTACAACTAAAAATAAGCAGCAACGTCTGGCGTGCTTCTGATTTCTTTTTCCTTTCTTCTTCACTGTCATATCATAGAATGCTGAAATTTGATGATCTTCTGATGGTCGATCGCGCTATGTTTGAGATGCAACTCCATCACCAATGTTAGCACAGAAGCTACACACCATTGGAAAACCATATCTATGTGATTCATAATTCACGTTCAGGTTATACATATATATATATATATATATATATATGTATCACACAACGGATTAACAAAATAAAATTAAAAGAAACCTTATTAATGGGAGTTTTTAAAAGTTTATATTTAATTAATTGAATGAATAAATTATATTGTAATATTATTAATACACGCGTATACATTTCATTGGTCAGATGACAAGAACCCGCATAATAAAACGAGGATGCTTGACATATTAATCAATGATGGTCCTACCGTTTTCATGACTTGAAGTAATAAGCTAAATGAGTTAAAGTGTTGATCTCTGTTACTTTGTTCAGACTTGAGGAGCTCCCTGTGTCCGAGTATCGGAGTGGTAACACGCTGTTTACAAAATTATTGATCCATTTCACACGGTGCTATTTGTAGAAGGAAATTAAATAAGTAAATAATAAAGCATTATCTGACCGAGTTAAAAATTAATTATCATTGCGTTGAAATAATGGATGAAAGTGGAAGTAGAAACTGAACTCAAACGTGTTGCATGAATTGGATAAAACGCGTCTGAAAGCTGAAGGCAGCAGGGGACATTCTTAGCATCCTGCAATGCCGAGGCATTACTAAATATGTGATTAACAATTAATATTACATTTTACTATACTAATTAATTAATAATACCACCTCGTACTTCCTACGAACAACGACTAATTAATAAGCATTCCCAGTCTAGCTAGTTCCATGAATGCTGCTGAATAATATTGCTCATCACAATCATGACCAACATGCATGTTTTCTGCTCCAATTATTACCACCTGAACTAGGTTATATTAATTTCTAGCTAGCTGCTAGAGGCGTTGGAGCTAGGTTACTCAATAATGAATAATGACTAGTCTTTATGAGAATGGAATATAAATGTAAATTATGGAGTAGCAGCAGCAGCAGCAGCAGAGTTTTTCATGATGATGTAAAAGAGAAATTAAAGTATCAAGGAATTGGTGAAGTGAGTGGGGAAAGAGGAAGCAGTGGAGGAGCACGAGAGAGGGGAGGTGGATTATATCCAAGTATATATTATGATCACGCAAATCCAAAGAAAGGTGAAACCACATTGTACAGTGTACTGGTACAAGTGTCTGATGGCCACACTGGATCAGAAGCGCCATGAAACCCCACAACATATGAATATGTTCAACAGGGGAGACACCATGTAGCATGTTTGTTATTCTTTTGGGGCACATGCATTCGGCAATATTCCCAGCTTTTCAAGCCCCTCCCCCCCCCCCCCTTCTATATTAACAAATCGAACCTTCTTTATTATTTAACCAAGATCTAGCCAACTCCATCACAATAATAACGCCCAATGGTGGCACAACCTTGTTATTCGATTTCTCTTCACCACACACACACACACACACATATATTAGCTCCTCATGCATGGCACAATACCATGCACGCACTGCAAAAAGCCTCCAATGTAGTATTCTTAACGGCGCCTTTTAATAAACCAAATACTGAAACTGCTTTTAAAGACAGACTTCCCAGGAAAAGAGAGCCACTTTGACTGAATATAATGAACAAGCAAAAAGAATATATATCCCACCATGTCATGTTCCTGTCGGTGATAGCAGCAAAATGTAGTAAGTAATTAAAGAGGCGTAAATAAGCCAGAGCCTTGCTTTACTCTGCTGTCGTTTAGAGATGGAAAACAATTTACGGCATCACCACAAACGAAACCCCTAATGAAGAAGGTGAAATTATCAGGATCAAGAAAGATCAGAGGGGGTTGCCATTTCTGACCTCGATCTAGAATTTAATTACTTTCTACTTTCTTAAATATGATTCCACGCACTACATGCTGTAAGTTTTTCTGGTTCATGTTTATAATGAATGAATAAAGTTTCGGAGTTCATATATAATATTGCTACCTGTCCCCTAATTTGAGGTTCTCTTGTAGTTAAATATCATAGCCTCGTTTTAATTATGTATGGCCAGTCACCACTAATTATAGGAGAGAGCTTTATAATTTAAAGCAGCTAGCACTTTTGAAATGTTTCTTTAGCCACTTAAAGTAGGCTCATAATTAAATCATGTGAACCCCAAGTTCCTTTGACTTCAGCTATTTCCGGACAATGGAGTTAGACGCGTGCATGACCCAAAATAGATATCTCCCATTCGTGTTTCTATGATGCATTTTCAATGAAACACAACTTTAATTCAATCACGAGGATCAAAATAGAAAGACAAGTGAAAAGAAATTTGATTATTTTATAATTCATGTGATTTATCAGTGCAAATTTTTCAATGACCTGCACTTAATATGTGAAACTTTTATGTACTATGAGGTGATCATCACTAACGTGGCAGCTATTAGCTTATCACTTGCCCTCGTATTTAATTATTTATTTCAGAATATAATAACAAATTGATCACCCAATTTGTTGTACACGCAATAGACTTAAGTCTCAATTTAAGTTAAAAAAAACAAAAAATGAAGAACACAAGTTAACTCAGTATATCATGGACACAAGTTCTAAGATAATTTGTTGTTGTTGTTTAACACGACATATATAGTATGCAAAACCTATGAATTTTATGCATGAAGGGCGGATGGAACTCAGGAATCTTTTACACGTTTCAGGAATGTAAAATTAGACCAGTTTTAGAACACTCAGAAAACAATAATTAATCGTCATCCTTCAATTCGCTGTCTTAATCTGAACCTAAAATTTAGAGAAATTAACCTAGTTTTCTTAAAAATTCAGAGATTAATTAAAGCTAAGCGAGTCCCTCATTATGTTATTTGGTTTTCAGTAGTAAGCGTATATAAGTCAGTGCGCCATATGCTCGTATGTGGAATAACTTCAATTTGAAGATGGCGAAAAATTGGACCCGTTGAGAAGTTAGCTAAATGAAAAGAAGGTTTATTCAGTAGGTAAATAACTATAAAAACTGAAAACATATTGCGCACAGTTCATCATATATTTTAGAAGCTTGACGTATGCGTGTCAATTTGGGATTTTAGAATTTAGATGAGAATTGAAGGGGTATTTAGTGAAAACCAAATCATGATTAGTAAGCATACGAAGAGAGTTTTATTTCAATTTATGCAAAATCACTTTTTAAAGTGCTTTTGTTAGAATCCAAACACCCTGAGAAAAATACAGCTCCCATTCCATCTTTTACAAAGTCAGATTATCTGTTTTTTTTTTTCTTACATCACTTAAATATATAGCAAGTAATTAATTAAATAAATTTCAAAGTCATAAGTCCACATGTGAAGTTTATTCATTCTCCAAGTAATGTACATGTCATACAATGATGCCAAATAGTTATTGATTTCCATGGCAGCTGTAGGTGACCTTGATTTGGTATGGAACCCGATGTGCTAAATTGAAGGGAAAAAATTCAAGTCCTTGCGTTATTTTAATAGTAACTGACTTAACCATTTTTAATGTAAAATGATAAAAAGAAGGAAGGAAGAAAGGAAACAAAGTTTCGACACTATACAATTAAAGCAACGAGCCTATGACCTGAAGAATATCTTTATGAAGTCATGAATCTCGCTTTGAATACGGGTTTTGTGGAATATTTCTGCGCTACCATTTAAATATCAATATATCATACCAGGAAAAAAAATAATAACACGAATTTAAATAATTTAGACGTGAAATCGAGACCATCTTTCTCTCCCTCACACACACACATAATATATATAATTAAAAAACACATATATAAATTCCATTTTATATCCAAGCGGCAAGGACTTGCCTGATCATTTGAAGCTGATGATCTTGCTTAATATCCGACGTCAGTATGTCACTGTATGAGTCCCACACGGACTCATATTCATATTACACATTTAGGTATTAATTATTTGAATTTCATCATCAAATTGATATGAAAAATTACGATTAAATTTTTAAGTCGTTATTTTGTTTTGTTTTCAATATTTAATAATTCAAATTTTGGTCTCAAATTCATTTGGGTTTAGATGGTATGGAGATTACGTACAAATAATTGGATGTCTACGTACCCCCATATAATCATATACTACCTCCGATCCTTATTATAAGAATTAGTTGATTAATTTGAATAGATTAAGAAAATTAACTAAATTAGTTATTTATAATAAATATATATTATCTTTTCTAAAATATCTTTGCTAATCAAGTGTATTAGCTGAATCTACTATTATCACAAGAACTACCTTAGAAATAAATAAACAAATATAATAGATAAAGTGAATTGAGATCTTATATTTAAGACTAAAATAAAAATCAAACAAGTTTTTTTATTAAGAACAGAAGATAGTACTTAATTTTTTTAAAAAAATACTAGGCATATTTTATCCTTTTGAATTTCTCAGCCATTGTGTGCACACGCTAATAATCAATGAGTATGCGTATATAATAAAATCCATAGCAAGTTTACATTTTACACAGTCACATGTATATCTCCACGTGTCTATGTGTAAATTGGAGTATTTGTTGAATGATAAGACAATTGGATTCTCTAATACACACACACGCTCTCTCTCTGAAGAGGTCCAGACGAAAGGACGCTGTAACACTTTGTGAGGCTTCATTAATTTAATTTTCATGTTCTCATTTTCTTTTCACCTAAATGGACATTACGTATTCATTTTTTTAAAAAGGAAAGAGGGCATGAAGGGCAATTATGTAATTAAAAGGCCCAACATTCTGCTCTTGGTAAAGCTAGCCGGTTACTGTGTTCAATGAACAGTAGATATTATATTATATAATGTGTGCCTAGGTTTCAGATGAAGAACACATAGAACTTAAGGCTTGTACAACATTGGAATTAATGGAGGATCAGGGTTCGGAGAGAAGTGAGAGGGTGACAGTGAGGTCAAGGTGGACTCCCAAGCCGGAGCAAATCCTAATTCTGGAGTCCATCTTCAACAGTGGGACCGTCAATCCCTCCAAGGACGAGACCGTCCGAATCAGAAAGCTTCTCGAGAAATTCGGCACCGTCGCCGACGCCAACGTCTTCTACTGGTTCCAGAACCGCCGCTCCAGATCCCGCCGCCGCCAGCGCCAGCTGCAGCAGCTCGCCGCCGAAGCCGTTCATCCCCAGGCGAATGATCACCAGCTTCAGCCTCATGGCGGTGCAAGTGCATGTCCGCCTCCTTATGATCACCATCATCAGAGTAACCCTGCCTCTGATTCTGCAGCCATGGCGGATTATAATGGCGGCTGCTCCTCCTCTTATCTCGCTTCCCAGGAACCTATGGATCATCATGCTTTCTTTCTCTCCGCCGATCATAATATGGGTTTCCCCGAAATCGATCACACTACTTCTGATTTGAGCTTCCTTTCTGGTAATTAATTGCATGTGCATTGTCAGATCTTTCCACTCTTGTCCTTATCGTTAAAATTACAGCTCGTAATATGGTAAAATATTAGCCAAATGACTATATCCAAGTGTACAAAGTTCTTGTCTTTGACGGGTGATTGCTTAGGTTGAAGGATGCAGGAGAATAAAGCGGCGACTTTGTGATGATTTGACATGAAAGCTGATCAGGTGTACTTTCCCGGAATAACATGAAGCAACTTTCCCATTTCAGTTTCTGCCGCTGCTGCTTTTTTGGGTTTCATAGAAATTAGTTCCTCTTTTCTCGTCTTTAGTTAGGCTGTCCCCAATTCCCCCTTTTCGGAAAATTTCATGCTGCTTCGTGTATACTTCTTCTCTCATAGTCACATGTACATGTTTTTTTTGGGTCAAACATAGTCGTATACGCAAGTTGACCAAGTTAAAGGAATTAAGAAAAGTTTCCCTGACTACTTGTGTCACAGGCCTACGTCTGGCCAAGTATATTCGCAGGACAGAACTCATCAGATCACCCTTGTTTTGTTTGATTTTTATATATATAGTTGACATACTAGTTAATTTGAATTTCATATGTTTCAGGGAGCATGACGGTGTTTATCAATGGGGTTGCCACAGAGATTCAGAGGGGACCTCTAAACATGAAAACTATGTTTGGTGAAGAGGTGATGTTAGTTCATTCTTCTGGAGTTCCACTTCCTACCAACGAGTTTGGCTTCTTAATGCAGGATTTGCAGGACGGTGAAAGCTACTTTCTGGTAATTATATTGTGGCCATTGTTATTATTCATTGACAAAATATCTGATCAATCCCAATTCAAATCATCACTCTCCAACCATTCCAATGTAACGATGCGTATAAAAATAATTTTCTTGTGAAGTACTACTATTTTATAGCTAAACGCATTTCTTGTGCTATTTATGACTTACGAACAGTGAAATTTGATATGGATTTAAAATTTTATGTGAATACTGATATTGATTTTAATTATGAAATTAATTAAATAAACATTTTATATATTACTCCTCCGGTCCTAATTATAAGACCCAATTGACTTATTTGAGGAGATTAAGGAAGTAAGTTAAATTGGTTATTTATAATAAATAAGTGTTGTCATTCCTAAAATATCCTTGCTAATTAAGTATATTGGCTAAAACTATCATTATTAGAAGGATTATCTTGGAAAAAAATGCATAAATATAAGAGACAAAATGGATTGGGGTTTTATAATTAGGACCAAATAAAAAGTCAAATAGGGTCTTATAATAAGGACCGGAGGAGTAAAAGTTATTCATAAGACAGGGAAAACGTTGAGAAATATTAATTAAATGAGAGGATTCAGTGCATATTCTGGTTTAATTTGATTTCGAAAACAGATGTGTGAAAACCCAGCTAATTAATTGGATCCATCTTAGGGTAGAAATTAAACGATTCCAAAAAGTGTTGATATATATTGGAAAACTAAAGATTTAAAGATTGTTGAATTGGGATTTCAGGTCTCAAAGGCAGCGTAGGAAGGAAAATGAACCGAAGCAGCTACCAGTAGAAGGAAGGCCACCTCACTCTAGATATCTTCAATTTCTCCAATTTCCTGTCCGATGCTCCCTTAATATTCTTCATATATATATATATATATATATATATCCTTAATATTCTATCATGCGTGTGACCTAAATATAATAGAGCCCCTCATCCATATATGTATGTATTTATAACCTCTATGGAACTCCTCATATATATCTCCCTATCTCTGAATTCCCACCAGCAATCTTATATATATTAAGTGTGTTTCTTAATTAACCTGTCCATGTTGTTTATTTACTTTTGTGTTTTTCCTAATTAATTCCATGCGTTATGAATGTAAGACATGAATTTTTGCTGTTATTCGTATGAAATTTGCGGGATAATATATATAGTTCATTAAAATGCACAGACAAAACTCAAATTATTAAAGAAGCTAGAGTGAGGTTGATGATAAAAGATGGCAAGAAAAGGGAGGTGGGAATGAGAATTACGTCAAAGGACGTTGATAAATATTATTAATAAAATATAGAAGAACGTACATCTGGTTGGAAACATATCTAACTCTGTTTGGCTTATGTTGTCTACCTTTTTGTCATATAAATTCTATTTGTGAAAGTAAAGTAAGGAAGGCTGACATTTTTGAGCCAACATACGGCTACTTGCCTCTCTTTTAAAAAGCCGACCTTCACTGAATCTCGTGTCTCCAAATTTTTATTCTCATTAGTCATTACTGTCTCACGTGGATGATTAATTAACCTTATCAATGATTATTAGCCGTGTATCAGCTAATTCATTTAATAATTCATGTAAATTGAAATTTTTGCCATAAGGTTAATTACTTGTACAAGCCCGCAGAATTTAATTTGCAAACAATTTTACCTTGATTACTTAAATAATCTCTGGGTCAGAAGAGTTATTTACTAAGTGACACTCTCGATAACTGTCAATGAATTCCAAGCCCCCGCCAGCAAGGTAAGTCACATTTCCTTAAGGTGATGTAGATATATCGAATAGTACTCTACCACCCCCACCCTCTATCAAATGATTTCTACTGTGAGATATTATATATATATATATATATATTTATATCAAATTCGTTTGTTTATTATTTCAACATGTACCAAGTTATTTTTAATATTTATCCGAAACGGTACCGTAGAATTCTAAAAACCGGTGGATATGATACTCGTTATTCAAGTATGTTAAATATAAATATTATTTAGTATTTGCTTAGCAGACTAATTACTTGAGCCCTTTAGACTTTAATATTTAAAATTGCCAGTCTTTTTGTTCTTATTTATGCAAACTTTGTATGAACCTTAAATAAGGTATCTAACAACTAACATTTTCCAAAAGTGTGTTTACAATGATAATTTAATATAATTTTGCAGCGATAGAGCTGCAACAAAACAATTGCGAACCACATAGGGCCCATATATATATTTTTTAAAAAAGAGTTTTTTAAAAAAGAAAAGGAGTTTTATGTAATAAAGATTGATCTAGTTGATAAAAAGTCAGCTTATAGCTTATAAGTTTATGAATTTAAATCTCACTGCCGATGTGAAGACCTTGTTATTGAGTGATTTGTAAGTGAGTCTGTAAGCATGTCTTGTTCTTGATAAGCCCTGAATCTAACTCACCTTTTTTTTTTTGGTAAATAAATGAGGAAATTAAAGAATACCTGTGGGTTGCATTTTCCATTTCCCCATTCCCCCCGTCCAGACATCACGCGCACTGCCATTGACCAACCCCCCTCCCCAAACACATACATTTGTTCTGTTTTCCTCCGCCCCCGGGGGGGGGGGGGTCTGCGGTCTTTTCTTTTTTTTTTGTCCTCTCCTTGATAAGTGAAGATTAGTTTGTTCTGTATATTTCCTTTGCTAATGATTTAGACTTTGGAAAGAGGAAAAAGTCAAATTTAATTTGTGTGTTTGTGAATTCAGCAGCTTCGATCCGGCCGTTTTAATGCTTCCAAAATGACGCTTTAATGAACATATAGCTGACCACTGATGACTACGTATGATCCATAAATTGCATAGTACGATAATACCACGAGTTTAGTTAATTAACATGTTAATCCAAGTTCCTGTAAGAGTGTGTGTGTTGTGGGGAGCATATACTGAAAGAGATGTAAGACAACATGTATAGCTAGGCTGGTCCCCCACGTCCCCAACTACTCTAGCCAATCCTACATGAGATGAGACGGATGTTTGTGGTAACACACTCCCAAATGTTTTAGATTCCTCCTTTTGGAGTTCATCGACATATATAAGTAATGTGGCGTCTGCTCCCAGCTTACCATATTAGGAGTTGTATTGAGGGAGGAAGGGCACACTTTTTTAGAAGGAGCACGTGAGATTGAGATTCATTGATTAGTGGCTGCCATCCCCATCCTCCTTCCTTCCTTCCTTCTTTCCTCTTCTTAATTATTTTATTCCTCCCTTCCCAGTTTGGACTCCAATCTCCCTTTATATCCTCCTCCTCCTTTCTCTTACTCTTTCTCCTTCTCTAAAGCTTATGATTAATCTCTTACTTCAACGTTTAGAATCACACAATCTTCGTAGCAGCAGAAATTGAATCGCACCTGTTTTCTGAGTTCCAGGCTGCTCCCAGCTGGAAATATCGTGACTGTGCGTGTACGTAACTGCTGTGAATTAAACTCCTGTGAACTCCATGGATTCTCGAAACACACCCCCCCCCAAAAAAAAAGAACAAATAAAGAATCTGATGGACTTTCGTTTTCGATTTCAAATTCAAATAACACTCCTCTCTATTTGAGCGCATCATCCATTTAACTATTTTCACGGGCATAGTAAGAATCAACTTACACTAACAATCAAGTGTTCAAGGAATGAATATCAATTTTTGAAATAATTAACACATTAAACATGCATAGTTTTTGTTTCTGGTACGCACAAGTATCCTCTTATTGAAAATAATGCTATTTGAGATACCATCAAACACTAAATGTACACCCTTTTCAATGAGGATTCACATGCGTGGTTATATCATAAGAAAGAGAGAACTTTCAGGGAGACAGAAGGAACGGTGGGTTGGAGAATGATGGAAATAGAAGCCCAATAGTATGGGAAGAGTCTGAGCTCTGAACAAAATGTAAAAATGTCAAGCCTAAGAGACAGCATTCTATTTGGAACCCAAAGTTCAACTATCCTGATTTAATTTCAGCAGATCTAATATTTTTAACATGCATGAAATCTAAAATAAAAATAATCCTCTTAATAACACGCCCTTGACACGTCATACCATTTACAACGAAGGTGGCCTCAATTGGCGTCTCATGGTCATCACCTTTCCAAGCACAGCCGAGCTCGCCAAAAAAAAAATAAAGTCCTCAAATTGTGACTCCCACTCCTACGTTGCCCCACAAGCGTCATCCCATATGTTGTTAGTTCCCATTCATCATCTTGTTTGACAACATTGTCTGTAACTTCCCGTGCAGGCAGCATAGTTGCGAATGCCTTCTACAACTAGGTTACTATGCTCCTCACGCATTTTTTTTTTATAACATCTGTGTTGTTGAAATCTAATTTGGATGATTTGAATCTAAAGTTTTTAATTTATCATATAATTTAAAGCGCCACATCCTCCAAAATAACATCAACATTTGGCCTGTTCTGACAGCTCGTTTCATCTGAATAAAAAATGTAATGCAACACACAACAATTGCAACGAAAAGGATCCGATTGGTTAAGCATATAAAATATTGAGGTGGAGTTATACAGTATAAATTGTCACGGGCGGTACATGTAAAAGAACAGGGTCAAACATCCAATACCAAACGTTTACCCAGTTGAAAAAGTGCCAAACCCCAATAACACATGTTTCCAGGTAAACAACCAATTATAATGACTCCACTACTTTCATTCATTCCACCCCTCCCCGTCTAATCCAATTCAACCTACCTCGGCTTTACTTCCACAATAAAGCGCCAAAGTCCACAACATCACCCAATAACGAACCCCACCATCCTCCCTTTCTCCCTCTTGTTTCTGCCCCCGTCCAAATCCAAGGCATGTCTTCTTATTATATTTTTCAAACTCATAACTCTTAGACCTACCCTCTGTTTTTTCCTTTCTTTCCCCACTTCCCCTGTCATGAGTTCGCCTTTTACTTTTAGGTGCCTTTTGCCCTTTTGTGAAACTAACTGTACAAAATGGAGTGCCTCTAGGACCTACTTCTGCTACATCCCCATTTTTTCTGCAACTCCTACTGTATTACGGACCCTAATGGTGCTCCTGACTGAACAGTGACCCCCCAACCCACACTCTCGATTTAGGCCTTTTCTTTCAATCATCATACAGCTCCTACCCCGAGGAAATCAATGAATGGCATGTTCATGTTATCGCCCCCGTTCTCACTTTCCCCACAAATTGAGAGGCTCGTCCTGTTGGTGGCCACTGACTCAGATACTGAGATTTCTGAGTTTGAGTCTGAATTTGATTGGTCCACTACTCCCATCAGCTTCCCCATTTGTGCTCTTCCCTCATTACATCCGTTCCTACCGACAAACATCCTGTCGAATCCCACGTCCCCAGTTCTCGACTTCATCTCATTGGATAGACCTGCAAAAATCCCCCCGTTTTAACATAAACGATAATGAGATACGTAATGAAAAACGAAAGACGAGTCGAGAAGCGTACCCATCAGCGATCCGTGGCCCTGGGGGCTCGGGTTTGGGAACAATGTGGCACTGAGGGAGAGATCAGTGGAGGATGAGGCAGATTCATCGATGAGGTTGCTGGAGTTGGTGGATTCGCTCACTGCCTTATTTGAGAGGGTCAAATTTAAAGCCTTTGGGCGGATGATTTCCGAACAAGACCTCCTCCTCCTACAGCCAATTGATTGCTCTCTGTGCTTCCTGGCCATTATCACGTGCCAGTGGTTCTTCACCGCATTATCTGTCCTCCCAGGAAACAGTTTGGCAATCATAGCCCATTTGTTCCCGTACATTCTATGAGCAGACAACAACCTCGCCTCTTCTTCCTCAGAGAACGCCCTCCTGTTAATTCTGGGATCGAGCTGATTGAACCACCTCAGTCTGCAACTTTTACCTGCGATGACAATACATCGAGAGAAACCAAAAGCAAGGGGGTTCAGTTCCTTCAAAACGGTCAAATTCTAAAATCAGTAAAGTAATAGCTTGACGACTTCCGGAAACATTACAACAGGGCTGTGGATTACCTGATCTTCCTTCGAGATGGTCGGCGATCAAGTTCCAATTTTGAGGACCGTACTGAACTACGAGCTCTTTAAGCCTGGCATCTTCAGCTGGCCTCCAGTGGCCTCTAGCGCAGAGCTTTGTGTGTCCATTCCTGGAGCCAGAAGAGCTCTTGGCTTCAATGTCCTCCTCGCCAAGTTTGAAAGGCAAGCCCTTGTTCTGGGCCTCTGAAGGTCCATCAGCTTCACCGTTGCCTCTCATTGTTCCCCTCTTCACCTGGGGCGGAAATGAGGGGCTCAGGACCTGAAAGCCAATCTCGCCGCCAGTCCGGCCAAAAGTGTTTGACAGTGAAAGTTGAGGAGCTCGAACGATAAGAGGGGAGGCGTAAGAGGGAGCTGGTGGCAAAAGACTGACGTCCCCACTAAAACCGTCACCCCCATTGTTGAACTTTTGCGAACTCATGGAAACAGAAGTCCAAGAAACACAGAACAAGAGACAAAAACGCTAGGAAACCGAGAGGACTGACGTTTAAAACCCCCAAATAGGTTCCTCCTGATACGAGATGGACTAAAAGACAAACTGATGTGATCTTTAGTCAGATGTAAGGAGGATCCGAATCAAAAGGTACAGGATACAATCGCGTTGCAAATTCCCTCCCTCCTTCAGCCATGAGCTGTGAAGGAGTACCGCAGAAGACTGTGGGGGAGAGAGAGACGGGCAATGGTTTGGCGGTGGAGTTGAGAGAGAACGGGAAGGAAGAAGAGTGTTTCAAATATGAGGGATGGTCGAATGGAATAGCGAATAAAATGGGAGATTTCGCAGTGGGAACTAGAGAGAGAAGGAGGAGAGCAATAACAAAAAGGCAGAAACAGGGAGCCCACACAAGATTCTGTTCAGGGTTCACTCCGATTTCCTCTTTCTCGCTGCGGAAAAAGCAAGAGAAACAAAGGAAAGGGGAGGGTCCTTATAGCCGGGGAGACGGATCTGAGTGTCTCCGTGAGAAAATATAATAAAAGAAGTAATTTGAAGTGGAGCAGAGTCTGTGATATGTGGATTACATGCAACCCGAGAAGCGCTCGTGTGGGTGGGTTGGCTGGATGCCAGGTATTTCTTATTTGGTTTCAATTAGTATTTTTTACTAAAGTAAGTATTTTTTTTAAAAATTCATTTCAAACTACGCGAAACCATTTTTAAAGAGCATTTTTTAACGAAAAAACTCCCCCTACAGGCCTGAATCATCTGTCTTTGTCTGCCTATGTACCCCTTTTCTTATTAACGGCGTGTTTAGCAACTCAGAAAGTATTTTTAAAAAAATATTTTTTTATAAATCAAGAAATTTTTTTCACATATTTAAAAATATGTTTAAAATTATAATTTTATTTCTACTTAAACACCCTCTAAATAAAAGAACGAAACGGTAAGTATAAAACATCTTGGCTTGCTTCCACAAGCATCATCATTCCCTTAGCTTGTAGTTGGTTTGAAATGGTTTATTAAGAGCTTTCCAGTAATAATTTATAAAATATAAAATAAATGTGTGAGGAGTTTTGTTTCAACTTACATAAAACATATTCATAAGTAATATTATCTTCGGTCCTAATTATAAGAGTCAATTGATTAATTTGAGAAGATTAAGGAAGTAAGTTAAGTTAGTTATTTGTTCGAAATATGTGTTGTCTTTCCTAAAATGTTCTTACTAATCAAGTGTATTAACTAGAACTATCATTATTAAAAGGGTTATTTTGAAAAAAATGTATAAATATAAGAGATAAAGTAGATTGGGGTCTTACATTTAAAACCAAAATAAAAATCAAATAAGATTTTATATTAAGAATCGAAAATAGTATTAAACAAGTATTTGATATTTTGGCTTTTTTACCCATTGTCACATGTCCGCCATGGGAGCCTCATTTTCTGTTTCAAATAAAAGGGGTGTTTGGATTATTAAAGAGGTGATTTTAAAAAGTATTTTATTATAAATCGAGATAAATTTTTTTATTTTTTATTTTATATACTTTAAAGATATTTTTAAAATCATGATTTTGTTTGCACCGTAAAAAAAAATATTGATATAAACAGTGATCTTACAGTTTGGGTTCAATTCATTTTCTTTCAATGTCCAGCTTGCAATGACCCAAAATTAATAATGGGAATAAACGCATGTGAGTACTGTGTATCGTATTGGAGCCTCTCTAAAAGGGGAAAAACAGAGCAACAGACATTGGGAAGCAGGATTTTGAACCCGGTTTTAAAGTTGCCTTGCAGACTTGCACGGGTGTAACCAATCAAAAGGACGATGGTTTTCTGTTTTTTTTTTATAACAAAAAGCAGGCTCATGCTTCCATTTGGGAATGATAAAAGGAAGTAAACAGTGAAAATAAGTACATTTAATATCCCCCCCCAAATTATGTATTCTCATCTTACGAGGCCAATCAGCGATTCAGCTGCGTGCGCACCCCGTGACATTCCCGGTGTACGCACAGTAATATCTCTGATTCTAATTATAAGAATCAGTTGATTAATTTGAAGAAATTTAAAAAAAGTTAGTTATTGTCATAAATAGATATTTTATTTTCTAAAATATCTTTATTAATCAAGTATATTAGCTAGAACTACTATTGTTAAAAGGGCTGTCTTTGAAAAAATACATAAATATTAGAGACAAATAGATTGAGATCTTATATTTAGAATCAAAATAAAAATCAAACGAGATCCTATATTAAGGACCGGAGGTAGTATATTATTATTTCCGGTCCTAATTATAAGAGCCATTTGACTAATTTGAATAAATTAAGAAAAGAAGTCAAGTTAGTTTACAAATACGTGTTGTCTTTCTTAAAATATCCTTACTAATCAAGTATGTTGGTTAAAACTATAATTATTAGAAGGACTATCTTGAAAAAAATTGAGTAAATATGAGAGACAAAATGGATTGAGATCTTATATTTAGGACCAACATAAAAGTTAAACGAAATTTTATATTAAGGACAGGAGGGTACAGTAATAGTACTAGTTAATATGAACAAGAAGAAATGTTTGCTTTCTAATTTTATTTTTCATTAAAATTAAAAATTATGTGCTTTTTTTAATTTAATAATGAAAAGTATGTCAGCAATTTATGATAATCAAGAGGAGGCAAGATTTAAAAAACAAGAAGCGGGAGCAAAGGAGGAATGGGGAGGGGACCAGTCCCAGGCAGGAAGTGGGGTGCGGGGAGAGGCAGGGAAAAATAAAAAATGAGCAAGAGAAGCATGTGTCTGCGATGTGATCCGTACGGACGTAGACGAGTTGGGATAAACTTACAAGGAAAGTAATATGAGGTTGGGTTTGACTGTAAAAAGAGGAAGTGTCTGAAGAAGGGGTAAATGCGACAGGGTCGTTAAGGGGGTTTGGAGGATTGCGTAGGAAGGGAAGGGCACACGCTTTCCCCGTTTCTGGCTTTCCGTTAGACTACCCCATGTCCCATGTGTGCCCTCTCCTCCCTCTCCTCCCCCCCTCCGCATGCAGGACACATATCGATCAAATACTCGTAGCATATATATATGTACGGCACCACTGATATTAATCAGGCGTCGCATCGCTTGCTCCTGAGTCATAAATAATTTAAATAGAAATCAAATTATGATTTTAAAAATAATTTTATGATACATAAAAATTTTATAGTTAGAATTAAGAACATAAAATAAATATGTAAAAAAATTATCTTGATTTATAAAAAAATTTCTGATAAAGCACTCATGCAAGCATTCAAACAAACATAGTTTTTGAGATTGTCGTATGGGGTGGGGCCGGGGGTGTGGGATGAAGGAGCACGTGAGGCGGGCAGGCGCATAATTACGGGGACAGTTACTACTTAGTACTGGTGTGTAATCATAGTAATTCATGGAGATGGGTGACGAGGAAAAGATCTGGTTCTGATTCGCGTCTCACATCGCACGGCGTGAGTAGCTTCTTAGAGAAGCAATTATCCAAAACTGGCTAACGCCACAGTGCCTGCACACGCCTCGCCTTCTCGCCCTTTACCTCATTCACTTCCTACTTCGTCCCGCCTTCCATGTTTTTTTTAAGTCAGAACAAATTTTTTTTATATATTTATCTTGTATTTTATAAATTATTATTAAAAAATTATTTATAAATTATTTATAAGTTTTTCTAAACAGACACAAAATTGATGAGGCATGCTGACTCCTGAGGAACGGGGGAAATGGGTGGCGTGCTGGGGGGAAGGGGGTTGTGCGTTTTGTTAGCAGAGGGAGTATGACGTGAGCAGCAGTTACACGTGCGGTTACATCATGGCCTCACACGCGTACGGCTATGCGCCTTTTCTTGTGAACTGCTTTCCGTTTCGCCACCGTACTCAAAACTCCGCCCCTCACGCCCGCTTGCCCTCAATTCCGACCCTACCCCCGTTCCAATTATCTATAATTCCTTATTTGCCACCCGTGGATTCTTAAAACTCATTTTAAATTCCTGAAATTAATTTTTTTAAAAATTTTATTATTTTTGGCCATGTTTTAAAATTGACAACTCTAGTTTTTGTTTTTCATGCTTGCAAGACGAGCCAAATGTACATATTTGACACTATCCAAGAGGAGAAAACCATCCATATACGTACTGATTTAACTCGTCTAATTCTTTTCCTATCAAATTGATATCCTAATTCAAATCTCATTACATTCTACTCACCAGATAATTCTAGTTACATTAATAAATCTCAAGACGTTGTCGATAGATCGTCCCGGGCACCGAAAAATAAAAAAAAGCCAATAAATCGTCACAAATATATATATATTTATATTATGTTATCTGGGTGGCCGTTTTGGCAAATTAACTAACCCATTCAATTAAAAGATGACCAAAGCGCACGTACAGGGCCCACCCATTCCCCCAGGCAAACAAATCATTTGTACTCAATTCATACGCAACAGGGCATTGGCCTTTTATTTATAGGGCCACAACAACCTCACTGCACACGTACTATCTTTTTGTGAGTGTTGGTGACCACCTTTTTTTTTTTTTTTTTTGATACTTGCTTCAAATTTGTCACTCTCTGGTTAGAACAAGCACCGCATGAAGAGCAGCCTTTCTTGACATTAATTAAAGGACACTTTAGTATGGTGCCACCGTCTTTCTCTCGTTATTTGACCTCACCTGCGAACTCGTTTCTCAATTCTCCCCCACTTTGCCCTCAGACCAAAATTAATGTCCACTACTGTACCAAATACTGCGTAACTGCTCCTATTTATTTATTTTTCGAGTAAGGATCTCTCTCCTTGGTCCAAAAAAAAAAAAAAAGAGTAAGGATCTCTCTCTCTCTCTCTCATGTTTTTGCCAACCATGCCTATATAAATATACACATATCTACGTGATTGGGACCCATATCCCCTACCCTGCACGTGAATTATTATTACAGATATCTCTCACGATCATTAATCTGCTCCATTAGTGCTTCAAATTGGCCTTCGTGTCATCTCTTAAACGACAATCTATGACTCTTTTTGCCTCCTTTTTTCGCCGAGACAACAATCATCATCATCCTCACAGAAACGGTGGAAATTATTTTCCATTGCGTGTGTGTATATATATATAACTAAAGTTAAATACAGAACGCTTCTCTTGCATCCCAGGAGCAGGATAAGAATAGGTTTCAATCCTTAACAATTCATTCATGTGAATCTCGCATGCTCCATACGTGTTCCACCTGGAACATCATTAATCTGGTCTCACCTAACCTGTCTTCCTCCTCCCATGAACACTGCAAATGAATTCAAGTTTTATTGACTGTGCCTGCTTTGCTCTCTTTATTTTTGGTTACCTCCTTCCCTCCATCTCTCTCATCCCTGTGAGTTCATTTTCATATCTTTGAAAACATATCATTACTTGCCGAAACGTAACTTTCAATTATCTCTGTGCACATGCCAATAATTAATTGTTACTGCACTCGACAAAGAAAAGGCATCACGTTTCAAAGTTGTGATTACTAATTCTAAGTTAGGTCCCTGGGCATTAATTTGTCTCTGTTTGTTTGTTTGCTGTTTGTGTACTTTTTTCACTGTGTATATATTTGTGGCTTTCGTTTTCCTTGTTCTTTGCTTTTTTCTTTTTTTTTTTCCTTCCCCCCCTTAGCTCGTGCATGATAAACCGCTGTCATTATTGACTTTTGGTTTTAACACTAATTATTCCGCCATAATTAAGAGACTGAACCCAGCACAACAAAACAAAAACCAAAGTAAAGATCGTGGACTTGAGTCTTCTTAACTTTGCATTTTCCACCTCACGGTTTTAAGCAAATTATCCCAGTTTCAATCATTGTACTTTCCTGTTTCAACGCAAATTTTCTCTCCCACGAGAGGGCTGAAAAGAGCGCGAGAAAACAAAAGAGGAAGTTGAACTTAGAAGACTCCGAGTCATCAGTGACTTTGCATTTAGACCTACCTATAATGATGGGGGTAAATTAAATTTCGGAACTTTTCATCATGTTGCTTTAATAGAAGGAAACAAGATTTACTGGGTTTTCTCAAGTCTTGATCTGCAAGCAATACGACGAAGGAGATGTCCTCAGTACCATATAATGTTGGCGCTTAAAGGGCAGGCATGGTTAACAATATGGTCGCTTTTTTGCCCTTCAGGTCATCACTGAACTTCATTATCATACTGCACATCTTTTGGCAAGCAGATTTATATCACACTTGTCATATCGGCGGAATTAATTTGACTCTTCCGGTGAATGATCCAAGATTCATGATTACTGCTACCACAGATATCAGATCTTCCAAAAGATGTCATGATCCATCCAGCAAACTCAATCTATACATATCTAGAACATATCAAGCAAAATGCTGACTTATTTGGAGTTTTTCCTTTCTTCTTTTCTAATTAACGATGAATAGTTAGCGAAATCTTAGCAATTATATATGCGAGTCATTTTTTTGTCTAGAACGATGAGTCCAAAACAACTGTAATAATCAAGGACTGATTCTTTGACTGTTGTTTTAGCACATGCTAAAACGGAAAAGCAATAGTCGGGAACATTGTTCAACTTCGATGAAACCTTTGAACTAGTTTTTTCTCCCTTGTCTATAAACATCTTTCGCTATTGCATTGGTTGTGTGTCGTGCCTAGGGACCAATTTCTATATGAGACATTGAGAGAACAAAAAATCACATATCTCTTTATATATATATATATATATATATATACGCCCCACTGGCACTGCCACCATCTCAAACTGTTATAACAAACAGCTGGTGTTTATTATTTGATTTATATATGTATATCCATACTCATGCTTCCATGTAATATAGAGTCATGAGCTATTATAATTTGTAAGGAACAAGGAACCGCATTAATGCACCATTATATTGCCCTCGCCATCTTGATGTGTATATGCTTGAAGTTTGTGTGTTCGATTTGGGTTTTTGACAGTGATTTTACATGTAAACTGTTCAAATCATATACTCCTTTTTTTGTTTTTTTCTTGGGTCGCTTATATGTCTTTTTTTATTTTTTCAAAAATCAGATCCTCTTTTAGTCTTAAATATAAGATCTTTATCTTAATCCTGAATACAGGACCCTTTACCAGTTTTGGTCTTAGCTTTGTGGACGTTTCATTATTAGTCATTGCTGGTCCTAATAGTTTATTTTTTTATTATAAAAATAAAATCTGGTAAATTTGAAAAATGCGTATCTTCTCTTTTTCTAAAATAAAAAATTATTAATATTTTTTCCTTGGCCCTTAGTCTTTCATACTTTTCATGATGAGATTTTTAAAACAATAATGGTAATAACTATAATGAAGGCAAATAGGGTGCCCACAAGAGATTCAATGGGGCTAACTTTGTATGTGTTATAAATGGGCCTAGATATTGGTGATCCAATAACAAATAATCCGTGACAAGAATTGGGCAATGGATTTCAAATATGAGAGCTAGTCATTATTTTGATATCGAGATTACTGTTTTAAATCATTTAACGTGCTGTATCATAATATCATATAATTGACATTTTTTCTCAATAAAATGATCAAGTCAATTTATTTAGCTTATCAACAATAATTTTCCTTTTAAGCAATTCAATTTATTTGTTTGCTCAACCGCTTGCCGCTTTCAAGCGCAGTCATTATTTTTTTCTCTGTGTTTGTTTTGTAAAGAGAAGTCAATGTCCTTGAAAAATAACTTGAATTTCTTTTGAACAACTGAGGAAAAAATTAAATGACAAAATTTCTATTGAAAAGTAAATGACGGTGGGAACCCAAGAGGCGGGTCCCGCGAGCATAAATGGCTAGTGACATGTGGCACGGTAAAAAAGTGGGAAAGCAATGACCGCGTGAGCTTCATGTCCAAATTGAGCCCTACGTACCGTATGCATTCCACTCACGTCCAAACTGAAAGACGACTCTGAAGGTTACAAATGATTTGTTGGAAGCTGGTAAAAAATCATGCATGCTGGGTAACCCTTTCTCCCCCCCCCCAAAAAAAAATTGCTTATTTTGTATTTATTGCCCTGTGTAATCCTCTCGATTTCCGAGTGACGTATTGATCCGGTTAGTATTCGAAAATTATGAGGCAGCGCCGTTTCTAAAACGGAGCCCACTTTCTGAGAGCCCCTTAAAGCTATTGTGAACAAGTTTCCGTGGCCCAATAGGGCGGCCCAAAATAATGCTTCATCGACATCTTTACCCGTTGAACTCATTAGTGCTTTAATTGTTTTTCTTCTGAAAAGCATTCGGTTTGGGTTAGAAAATGGGGAAATCACAAATAAAGACCCTCGAATTAGTAAAATTACTTTATGGTCACCTGAATATGCCAAATTATTATGAGGGACCCGGTCTCAAATTGTAATTATGAAATCATGGTCAAATTACCAAAATACCCCTCTTTAATTTTTTTAAAAAAAGAAAGCCATTGCCTCACCGGAATCCGGCCACCGATGCCGGAGCTCCGGCGGCCGCTTCCGGCGGCCTTCCTTTGTTTTTTTTTTTGCAACTGTTTTTTTTTTAAATAGTGGGGAAAGTGAGGTTGGGGGGATTTGATCCCCCAACCTAATGCTTCCCAAAATAAGGAATGACCATTGAGCCAACAAATTTTTGTTAACATCATGATGCAAAAAAAATATAAGTTAACTCATTTACTCTTGTTCCAAGTGATAATAACAATACATTTGGAAATAACAAGTTCTGATTGTAAAATAACACGTTTGGAATAAAAATTTAACAATATGTTTTTTTTATAACAATAAATTTTGTTGCAGGTAATAACAACAATACATTTAAAAATAACAAGTTCTGATTATAAAATAACAAGTTTGGGATTAAAATTTATCAACACGTTTTTTTTTATAACAACACACTTTGTTTCAAGTGATAACAACAATACATTTAAAAATAACAAGTTCTGATTATAAGATAATAAGTCTGGGATTAAAATTAACAACATGTTTTTTTATAACAACACATTTTGTTTCAAGTGATAACAACAATACATTTGGAAATAACAAGTTCTGATTATAAAATAACAAGTCTGGAATTAAAATTCAACAGCACCTTTTTCTTATAACAATTAATTATTTTATACTTTTGGAAAATAAATTATTTATAACTTATAAAAAGTACTTGTAATCTATTTAATTTGCTAAAAAAATAATTTTTATCTCCAATTTATAATCAGAACTTGAAGTATAATTTTTTATAGATTAAAAATACTTTTTTATTGTTCAAATTTATAAATAAATTTAGGGAAAATGGAAACACACTTTTTAAATTTTTTTTTAAATTTTTTTAATCTATATATCTATACAACTTATTATAAATCAAACTACTTATTATAAATTATAAATAGTACAATTTATTGTGGATTAAAAATACTTTTTGACTGCTTAAATTTATAAATGAAATTTATCTCTAATTTATAATTAAAAATACTATTTTATTCTTTAAATATAAAAACTATTTTTAATATTTAAAGAATGAAATAATATAAAATTTATACTATGATTAATAGATTAAAAATGCCTTATTATAAATACTTTATAATTTATAAGAAGTAGTTTGATTTATAATGAGTTGTATAGATATACAGATTAAAAATTATTTTTAGAGAAATAAATATATTAAAAATATTTTTTATAAGTTATAAATAATTTATTTTTTAAAAGTATAAAATAATTAATTGTTATAAAAAAACGTGTTGTTAAATTTTAATCCCAGACTTATTATCTTATAATCAGAACTTGTTATTTTTAAATATATTGTTGTTATCACTTGAAACAAAGTGTGTTGTTATAAAAAAACGTGTTGTTAAATTTTAATCCCAAACTTGTTATTTTATAATCAGAACTTGTTATTTTTAAATGTATTGTTGTTATTGCCTGCAACAAAATTTATTGTTATAAAAAAAACATATTGTTAAATTTTTATTCCAGACGTGTTATTTTACAATCAAAACTTGTTATTTTCAAATGTATTGTTGTTATCACCTGGAATAAGAGTAAATAAGTTAACTTATATTTTTTTTGCATCATAATGTTAACAAAAATTTGTTGGCTCAATGGTCATTCCTTATTTTGGGAAGCATTAGGTTGAGGGATCAAATCCTCCCAACCTCACTTCCCCCACTATTTAAAAAAAAACAAAGGAAGGCCGCTGGAGCTCCGGCGCCGGTGGCCGGATTCCGGTGAGGCAGTGGCTTTCTTTTAAAAAAAAAATTAAAGAGGGGTATTTTGGTAATTTGGCCATGATTTCATAATTACAAATTGAGACCGGGTCCCTCATGGTAATTTGGCATATTCAGGTGACCATAGAGTGATTTTGCTAATTCGAGGGTCTTTATTTGTGATTCTCCCTTAGAAAATTAAATCCATAAACATAATATTTTTTTTTATATTTTTTAGTCAGCTTACAGGGTTTGTGCTTTATCCTCTCGTTTCATTTCACGGCCGGGGCTGCAGGAGGGTTTCTTTCGCATGCGATGGGCGTCCTGAGCACCTGAGAAATGGGCGGTGCCACGAGGTTCCTAGTGCTTCTTACCACTCCCTTCCCTCTCCTCCACCGCCGCAGCTCCTCCCTTCTCCGCCTCTCTCCTCACCGCAAGATCATACTCTCCTCTTTCCATCACCTTACTTGCTCTCCTTCCCCACTCTGCCACTGCCGTCTTCTCCTCTCAAAGCTTCTGACCAGCTTCACAATCAGGCTGCCTCCTCTGTTCGGAATGGCTACTTCGAAGACTATTCCCCAGGCCACCACCATTCTCACCCCTGGCCCGAGTGGTCCAAATTCATCGACCATATCTCTGCTTCTGGATATTTTGATAGCCCGCCGTGTGAGGGTGAATTTGCGGCGGCAGGGCAATTGCAAACCTCCTTTCTGCGTGAAGCCAGTGCTTGCTTGGCCTTTGCTCGGGACCGAAAGAACATTTTGCGGTTGGTTTCCAATCCATTGCCCCTATTGTGCTTATTGAAATTCCACGAGAATTAAGCTTTGCCCCAATAATTTTCCTGTATAATATTAAATTGCTGATCAGTCTCTTCTCTTGACCCTTTTGTCCTTGTGTATAATCGTTATAGGCTACTTTCGAGGAGAGACATAGAGGCGGTCATCGAACATGGCGCGCCATTTCTGTTCCAAGACGCTGAGGATTCTGTGAGAAAGATGAGATCTTTTATATCCAATAGTACAATCAGTGTAAGTGCCGAGTTTCCCTTTTATTTTCGGATGGAAGTTTGTGTTCCTGGCCAAGCTACACACCAGTCATGGGAGGTTTTACTGTATAACTTAATCCTCTATCATCTCGGCATCCATCTTAGAATTGTCCAGTCGTCGCGAAAGTCAATATTGTCTCTCACCCCCAACCTGCCTGGCCTGGTCGTTTATTCCTTCTATTTGCAGCAACAAAATAAATTAACTGCGTATTTTGCGAATTTATACTTTTATCAGCCTCCGTTT